TCCCGATTTTAAGTCCGGTTAGAAGTTGCCGTTGTCTACCTGTCTGAAAATGATATTTACATAAGTGTCGGCAAAAATATAACTCCTATTTACATGACATTACTCTTAGTACGACCGTTAAATAAACAGAACAGACTGGAAATAAACCAACGTCAATGTTGCAATAGAAAGCAACAAAAATATGATTAAAAAACTAGTCAACAATGAATAATAATGACAATGCTTCACCTAAGAAATTCAGGCAACAGAAATAAGATAAAAGAAAAACTAGCTAAACTTGATAATAATGGCAATGCTTCACCTAAGAAATTCGGGTGACAGAAATAAGATGAAAGAAAACTAGCTAAACTTGATAATAGTGACAATGCTTCATCTAAGAAATTCAGGCAACAGAAATAAGATGAAAGAAAAACTAGCTAAACTTGATAATAATGACAATGCTTCATCTAAGAAATTCAGGCAACAGAAATAAGATGAAAGAAAAACTAGCTAAACTTGATAATAATGACAATGCTTCATCTAAGAAATTCAGACAAGACTATAACATCTATTTAAAATTAATGTCTATTTCTACGACCGTTAAATAAGCAGTAAAGATTGGAAATATATCAACGTAAACGTTGCAATAGAAAGCAACAAATATATCATTAAAAACACTAGTTAACAATGAAATATAATAACAATGCTTCATCTATGATATTTGGACAACTTAAGAATGTTTCATCTATTTAAAATGCAATTCTCTCTCCCCGACCGTTAAATCAACAGAATGGATCGGAAACTAAAAAGACCTGAACATTGCACTAAAAAAGCAACAGAAATAAGATGAAAGAAAAACTAAGCAAAACTTAATAATGACTAAAGTTCATCTAAAAAAATTTGCCAAATATACGATCTAATCCGTCTGTTTACGCTATATTTCTATTTACCTGACCGTTAAATAAACAGAATGGATCGGAAATAAATCAACCTGAACATTGCGATGAAAAGCAACAAAAATAAGATGAAAGAACAACTAGCCCAAAGTTAGTGATTAAGGTTCATTTAAGAAATTTGGCACATACGACTATTGCGTCTATTTACAATTAATTTCTATTTTTACCATTAAATAAGCAAAATGGATCGAAATAAAATGGTCTGAATGTTGCCAAAATAGCAACAGATATGAGCTGAAATAAAATTTAACCAAAAGATGATAATAATGACATTGCTTCATTTGTAAATTTAGGCAACCTAAGATTATTACGTCTATTTAAAATTAATTTCTGTTTCTACGAACATTAAATAGGCAGAATGGATCTTGTGATAAAAAACAACAGAAATAAGACAAACTCCAGAAATGGATAATAATGCTTTATCTAAAACATTTGTGCACTATAAGATTATGACATAGGTACCTCCACAGACTCACAATACCTCAGATTTAAAATGAATTTTTAAAACTGAAAAATCTTTCTTGAAGCTTTTATTTTAGTTTTAATTTCAAGCTAATAGAGTGAATTTAATATTTTCAAGAAGCAAAATACTTTGCTGCATTTCAAAAACTAATTTAAATTGATTGGAAGGAGATTTTGTTTTGAAATTGTTGAATTTTTTTTATTTTAGTACCATTTTTAGCGGTCATCAGAATATAATTCTCTTCATTAAAAAAAAATCAGCCAAAAATAAAATATACTTTTTTGAAATTTTATTTGAGGAATATTAGCTGATGTAAAGTATAATTAATCCGATTTGAAACAACAACAATTCTTCTATGAAATTTGGACAACTTAAGACCATTACGTCCGTTAACAACACATTTCTATTTTTATTAGTGTTAAATAGGCAACATTGATCGGATTTCATGGATATTACAGTAAAAGCAACAAAAATAAGATGTAAGAAAACCCAGTAGAATATTAATAATAATGACAAGGCTTATTCTAAGATATTCGGACAACTTAAGACCATTACGTCCGTTAACAGCAATTTTCTATTTTTATTATTGTCAAACAGGCAACATTGATCGGAAATAAAATTGCATGGGTATTAGAGTAAGAGCAACAAAAATAACATTTTTGAAAAACTAGTGGAATAGTAATAATAATGACAATTCTTCCTCTAAGAAATTCGGACAACTTCAGACCATTACGTTCGTTTACAATGCATTTCTATTTCTACGACTGCTAAATAAGATGCGGGGATCGGAAATAAAAAGACATGGATGTTACAATAAAAGCAAAAAAAATAAGATGTAAGTAAAACCAGTAGAATATTAATAATAATGACAATGTTTCCTCTAAGAAATTCGGACGACTTAAGACCATTACGTCCGTTTACAATGCATTTGTATTTTTACGACTGTTAAATAAGCAGCATGGATCGAAAATAAAAAGCAACAGAAATAAGATGAAAGAAAAACTATTCTAGAATTAATAATAATGACAATAGTTCCTCTCAGAAATTCTGACAACTTAAGACCATTACGTCCATTTACAAAGCTTTTCCGTTTCTACGATCGTTAACTTAGCACCATGGATCAGAAATAAAAAGAAACGAACGTTGCGATATTAAAGTAACAAAGAGAAACTAATGAAAACTTTGTAAATGTACACAGCACTTCATCTAAAAATTCGGATATTTTAAGACCATTACGTCGATTTACAATGAATTTCTATCTCTACGACTATCAAATAAGCAGAATGGATCGGATATAAAACGACCTGAATGTGTAATGGTGGTTACGAAGGTATGGTAGCCCGTAACTGAATCAATGAACTCGAATGAAATTCGAAATCGGTTCTCGATTACTCAATCCGAACCTTTATTCATTACTGCTGGAAAACCATATATCTGGCAACAGGACTCTGTACCATGTTACACAAGCAGGAGAATCCCGCCATGACTGCTACAGAATTACTTCAACGACGTTCCTCCTTAATTCTGGCCACGTATCTCCCCAGCCTGCACCCTCCTTGATTATTATGTATGTATGGGACGCAGATGACTGTGAGACCATCAAAACTCCTTGTAACGTCAAAGATGAACTGAAGGCAAGGGTTATGGCAGCATTTGCCAACTAGGAGATCGACTTGAAAAGTTGCCAGAGAAACCGAAGTCATCTGGGGACCGTGGTTGAAGCCAATGGCGATTTTATTAAATAAATTTACTCTTTGGTATTTCGAGATATTTTTGTGTAATATTGGTAATTATATCTGTTAAAATGAGATATCAAGGTTATTTTTATTATGGCGGTGTTTCGACGACAATTTATCCATCGCACCCTGTATTTGTTCTTCATCAGTAGAAATAAAATTTTTTATTAATATGCGTGGGAGGGGGTGAAGTTGAGCGAGAGACCAACAAAACTCTTTGTAACACCAAAAATGAACTGATGGCAGCATTTCTCTTTAGTCTTTGAAGATATTTTTTGGGGTAATATTGGTAAATATATATTTTAAAATGAGATGGCAGTGCTATGTTCATTTTTTTTTTTTCGTAATTTCGACGAAAATTTATCCATAGTATCCTGTAAGTAAAATCATTTAGCAATGAAGAAATTGCTTTCAAACTGATTTCCACAAAATGCCAGCGAATATTTAACAGACAATCATTCGGCTCAATTTTATAGTGTTACATGAAGACTATAATGTATCTGTGTTAGAAAAGATGAGAAAAATTTATTGAGGAATAATAAAATAAAAGAACCCAAATTGAGAAGGAGAGAGGACAATAAAAGAAGAAGAATTAAGAAGATAACGATTGACATTGCATTTAAATTTTAGAAGAATATGAGAAAAAGAAAACACTATTAAGGAGAGAGGACAATAAAAGAAGGAGAATTAAGAAGATAACGATTGACATTGCATTTAAATTTTAGAAGATCAAATTGAGAATATGAGAAAAAGAAAACACTATTAAGGAGAGAGGACAATAAAAGAACAAGAATTAAGAAGACAGAAGATAACGATTGACATTGCATTTAAATTTTTGAAGATCAAATTGAGAATATGAGAAAAAGAAAACACTATTAAGAAGAGAGGACAATAAAAGAACAAAAATTAAGAAGACAGAAGATAACGATTGACATTGCATTTGAATTTTTGAAGATCAAATTGAGTATATGAGAAAAAGAAAATACTATTAAGGAGAGAGGACAATAAAAGAACAGGATTTAAAAAGACAAAAGATAACGATTGCCATTGCATTTACATTTTTTAAGATCAAAGTTGACTAGAAAGCAAGAAGCCGAATATGAGAAGAGTGATAGAAGAAACTGTTAGAATAGAACTTGCGGTAACATCTAGCCTTTTCAACTGTAAAATGATGAGACGTAAACAACAATCAAGTACTGTGCTTAAATTCGTAAAGTCTAGAGAGACTCTTGCTTAAATGTGGAAAGTTAATAATAATAATAATAATAAGTAATTATTTTATATATGTTTGAAATTGGTATAAGTTAATTAAATTTTACTTTAAATTAATAATCTTATTTATAATTTCCATTATCTTCTAATTTGAATGCGTTTAATTTTAACAAAACTTAATTTAGACAGATTTATAATTTTTTTTCCTTGACAAACACGACAATACTATTATTGTTTCAGTTTCAGGCATGATCTCGGCACCATTTTAATCCATTTTCCTTTGCAGTTCACTGGAATCTAAAATAAAACTAAAAAGGGAAAAATGTTTGTGGCAGATCTTATATTCGACTCTGTTTGTAGCTTTTTTCTTTCTTGGCATTTCACTATTTTTCCGACGTTCACACCATAAGGCGCTTTAGAAAACGTGACTAGAACATCATATCTTTAAAAATGTGTTTTCATTATCGGGATTAAAGAATATAGGCTGGGAGGCTGTCAATTGCAGCCGAACACACACACACGCATATATATATATATATATATATATATATATATATATATATATATATATATATATATATATATATGTGTGTGTGTGTGTAGGTATTAAAGGTAATATTCGAAGAATTCATGGGCGGTAATGTTCACGAAAAGTTATATAGATATGAAAATACCGAGATAGATAGATAGATAGATAGTCATGAAAAGGACTGAGATCGATAGATAGATAGATAGATAGATAGATAGATAGATAGATATGAACAGACTGAGATAGATAGATAGTCATAAAAAGGACTGAGATAGATAGATAGATAGTCATGAAAAGGACTGAGATAAATAGATATATATATATATATATATATAGATAGATAGATAGATAGATAGATAGATAGATAGATAGATATGAACAGACTGAGATAGATAGATAGTCATGAAAAGGACTGAGATAGATAGATAGATAGATAGATAGATAGATAGATAGTCATGAAAATGACTGAGGTAGGTAGGTAGGTAGATAGATAGATAGATAGATAGATATGAACAGACTATTCAGACTGGAACTCGACTCTCCAATTAAGAATTTTGAGCCACTATCTATTGCACCACTCGCACTTCCACGCTTACGTTGCTTAACTTCGCTGCTTGTGCAGGAACCAACTCCGATGTGGCCATGAACTTAATATAAAATCGTTAAGTTGACCAATTCTTTTTCTCATTCTGAGACCTGAAACAAAATGAGAATAAACTTTTTTTTTTTCGAAGCAAACGAATAATTTACATATTCTCAATTCAAAGCAAGCTCGGGGATATCTCTGCGTTATCAACAGTCTGCGAGACACAGTCAAACTATTTTACGTGACCAGTATATTTCAATGTGTGTGTCGGCAAAGAGACACACCATTTGTTTTTGCTTGGTCTCTGGAAGGAAGACGTATTTTATTTTATGTCTAATAAATTTAATTAGACCCTGAAGTCTACTTCGAAAAAATTTACTCTTGAAATAATCATCTACGTGGGTTGACTGCCTAAATATCTAGGTATATGTATACTCATATCTACTGATCGATCTATATATATATATATATATATATATATATATATATATACACACACACATATATATATATATATATATATATATATATATATATATATATATATATATCCAAGTATATAATTGGTATATACGCAATGAATTCCAATAACCAACAATTACTATTCTTAAAAGTGTCAATACAAAGTAGAGCAGATATAATTATTTTTTATAAAAAAATTATAACATAAGTATGTTATAAAATCACTAAAAATAGCCATTTTGTTTCAACACACTCTGTGTCTTATCAAGTGATGATGTTGAAAATAAAATAAAAATGGCTATTTTTGTAGTGATTTTATAACATACTTATGTTATAATTTTTTTATAAAAAATAATTATATATCTATATCTATATATATATATATATATATGTAAGCGCAAAATAATCAAAATCGTGCAAAAATAAACTTGTCCATTTGTTACATTAAGCTGTGAACGTTTGAATCCTAGAAATGATTAAAGATATCTTACTGGAATTCTCCGAGGTTTTTATGACACTATTTGCCTCGACTTTGAGCAATAAGAATGTATAATTACTCTCCAAGTGTCTTAGTGCCATTATCACCTTGCTTGAGGTGAAATGACCTCCTTTCGTCTTTGCAGCATGATCGACTTTGAGTTAAATTAACCCCTTGAGACTTAGTAGTATTATCATCTTGATAAGGATGAAAATAACCCCTTGCGTCTTTGCATGGAGAGAAATTAATGCCTTGACGCTTAGTGGCATTATCGCCTTGCTTGTGGTTAAATATACCCTTACATCTTAGTAGCATTATCGCCTGGCATGGAGTGAAATGACCCCAAGCGTCTTAGTACCATTATCGCTTTGCTTGGGGTTAAATGGGGTTATGTTTGAAACAGTACAGAAACGTATTATGGCATAAAAAGCAAGACATTTTATATTATACGCCATGATAGATTTAAAATAAAACTAAAAACACACACCAATTGACTGGTTTCGTCCGCTCTCATCAGAACTTTTAACGGGGAACACAAATTATGAAGAGAGAATATGTTCTACCCCCCCCCCACACACAATATTAATTCTGTTATTTACCATTTCAAATATAGTTGTGGATGCGATTACATAGGTAGAACGACACAGCGGTTGGACGTTAGAATTAAACAACACGTACCTTCCATAATACTGAATAAAAAATTTTCTTTGGGCGATACCATTCGTAACACGTATGGTTCTTCGATTGCGGATCACTTTATAAAGAATCCCAGTTGTGCGATGGATTTCAGTGTGAACTGGTTTTCCGTTTTGGCCAGTTCGCACTCACTTTTCCATCTTAAGGTGTCGGAGACGCTTTACATCAGGTCCAGGCAACCTGCTCTTTGTAAACGAAGAGATTGTTTTGCTTGGACTTGCTGTACTGCGCTTCTAGCATCTTTGTTGGTATAATTTTTATAATTATTATTTTTTTCTTCTTCCTGTCCATTCATTGACATCATCCATGACAGACTTTTTTTTTCTGTCTTCATAATTTGTGTTCCCCGTTAACAGTTCTGATGAGAGGGGACGAAACCGGTCGACTGGGGTGTGTTTTTGTTTTTATTTTCAATCTATCATGGCGTATAATATAAAATTTCTTGCTTTTTATGCCATAATATATATATATATATATATATATATATATATGTGTGTGTGTGTGTGTGTGTGTGTGTGTGTGTGTGTGTGTGTGTGTGTGTGTAACAGCAAAATAGTACAAATCGTGTAAAAGCAAACTTGCCCATTTGTTGCAATAATCTGTGAACGTTTGAATCTTTGAATTGATTAAAGATATCTTACTGGAATTCTCTGAGATTTTTATAACAGTATTGGACTCTACTTTGAGCTATAAGAATATGTAATATTTTGAGCATATGTAATCGTAAATTTCTCTCTAAGCATGGCGATAATGCTACCAAGTTAATGCTACCATTATCGCCATGCTTAAATTGATATTACCTCCTTGCGTTTTAGTAGCATTATCACCTTGCTTGAGGTGAAATTACCCCCACGCCCTGCGTCTTAGTAGCATTATCGCTTTGTCTGGGGTTAAATTTAAAAAAAAAATGATAATAAGAGAAATTTTGACCAAATCTTAAAGAAAACAAAAACTGTGTTCGTATTCTACAGAAGCACACGTTTTCAAAACAGTTTTATTCATTTTAAAACCCTCTTATTTGAAACAGCAAGCTTGCAAATACACTCAATTGGCCCAATAGATAATATAACACAAATCAGGCAGGTGTTGAAACACTTGTTTACCAAAGGTATTTGATATGTCGGCCATATTTGTTCCTCCGGGAATTAGCTTTATGTTTAAAATAAGAATAGTTTTTCTCACACGGTATTTTTTAAAATTCATTTGTGTTTCATAATGCTTTCTTTCTTCATTCGTAATGATAGACAATAGTTTTATTTTATTTGTTTCCACACTTTTAGCAATATATATATATATATATATATATATATATATATATATATATATATATATATATATATATATATATATAGAAAGAACACTAAGATATATAATCCGGTGTTCTTATAGATATTTTATTTTTACAAAATAGTGCTCAATGTAAATTTACAGAGCATTAATATTATAAATTAATTGATTTAAAATATGTTTTTTTCGCTACACAGTTCTAACCATGTTTCAAAAATGGAAGCTGAAACCTTCGAATTTAATTTTGTAATTAAATTTAATTTTGTAATTAAATTAAAGACATTAGTTCCATTTCATCCTTAAGCTTGAGGATGAAATGGAACTAATGTCTTTAATCTAATTAATGGTTAGGACTGTGTAGCGAAAAAACATATTTTAAATCAATTAATTTATTATATATATATATATATATATATATATATATATATATATATATATATAAGACTTTTTTATGTTTATACATTCTTTTTAAAATGTCTTTAAAATAATTGTCGGACTTTGTCCATTACATTATATATATATATATATATATATATATATATATATATATATATTATATTTAGTAATATATAGAATGATAAAGCATGGTAACTCGTTGGTGTAATGGATAACATCTCATATTGAGTACCACTTTTGAACAACCACTTTGGGAACCTCTTCTATCCCCACATATGGGTAAATAGCAGTATAGACTGGGTCCTATAGCCTTGCGTCTAATAGAATGAAAACTCTGAATTCAAAATCAGCCGGTAGAGGGATGGACTCCGTCAGACTACCTTCGCAGGACGGATCACTTCTATTTTTAGCTACAGTACGTGTGCTGCCTCCACGACCCCGAGGGGTTACGATACTCTTAATCGTGACCCTGAGGGATATAATGAAGTCATATCAAACAGAAAATTATGATTGATTAATTATCACCTTAAAATACATGACCGGGTATATCTAGTTTGCACGTTTCCCTGAAAATTCGAAAATAAGTTTTTGAAACGGAAATTAGGAGAAAAAATACATGCAATGTCTAAACATCCAGTTCATTTCTGTTCTTTAATACCGTCGAAAATTAGATATTTTACTGATATATATTTATGACATGGATGGGTTGTAATTGTAACAAGACAAAATCCTAGCGGCCGAAAAAAAAAAAAATTCAGAAACCGCCTGGAGAGGGATGGGCTCCGTCAGACTGTCTTTCCCAGGAAACAACACTTTTTCATCGGCTATAGTACATCCGCTGCCTCTACGATCCTGAGGAATATAATAAGGTCATATCAATTTCAGTCGGGATTTTTACGAGTTTATGGCTCTCTTTTGCCCCCCACCCTCAGTGATGGGTAAATAGCAGTATAGACTGGGTTTTATAGCCTTGGAAATTAACCGCTCTAAGAGAAGGAAAACTGTATTCAAATCCAGGCTGGAGAAGGATGGGCTCCGTCAGACTATCTTTCCCAGGAAACATCACTTCTACTTCTAAAGTTCATGTACTCTGAGGAATGTAATGTAGTTATATCAAACAGAAAAGTATGACTGATTAATTACATACCTTAAAATATATTATCGGGTATATCTAGTTTACACCTTTCCCTGAAAATTCGAAAATAAGTATTGAAAAATTCAGTAAAATATATTTACGACATTGAGATTTTAATCGATAATATGGTACGACCTTTTAAAAAAAAACTATATCGTAATGGCTTTAACTTGGTTGTATTGTAGTCAAGGATGCAATTTATTATCTTTTTTAGCTTCATAAACACGGGGTCGTATTAAAATCAAGTCAATACAGTAATTATCATTTAGTAATTATTTTTAGCAAGTGTTCTGAATGAAGGGAGATGTAAGATGACCCCCAAAAATTGGCGGACAAAATTCTTGGATTACCTGACCTTTTCCGTTGTCTCTCATCTCAGTTCCACCGATAAAAGTTAAATGTTTTTTTTTAGTTTTTTTTGTTTTGATTTTCGCAAGAGGATTTGTTTTCTTCGGCATTGAGGGTAAATTCCGACAT